GTGTAGTAGATGTCAGGTCTCCCATGTAAGGTTTCTCTAGTAACGGGAGCTTCATCAGACTTCTCCACTTCTTCCACCTGCATGACTCAAAAATAGTGTAGCAGAAGGACTTCAAGTGGGCTTGGATTTTCATTAGTCATGGAAGGTGAGGATAATTCTAGGGTATAGGCAAGGAATTGGAATGACAGGTGGGTGGGAGTCAGACTTCGAAGAAGGAAATCCAAGTTTAGAAGATTCGTTTGGGACTTGCGGAGGGAGGTACTGGGATCCCACTGTGGCACTATCCCTGAGCATGAAGAAGTAAGAACATGTCTTTCTCCTTGTGTTCATTGTCTGCAGAATTTGGAGAATCCTTGGGTCTGAATTTTACAGATTTTATTTCACAGATCTGCTTTATAGATTAATTATAAGTCTCAGTATTTCTTAAAGCTCAGTTTACCTTCCATAAGGCCGGAAATACCTCCTTTGTCTTTTGTAAGGTGGGGATGAATATTCAAGTAGAACTTTAAACTTCTTAGTACGTTTAAGCAGTTACAGAGTACCTTGAATGAGTAGCGAATTCTGACCCAGGGCACGAGTGAGAATTTTGAGGTAGAAAGGGTGGATTCCAGGAGTCCTGGGCTGGTTTCTGAGCTCATCCTGATGAGAGACCTTTGGAGGTTTTTTGTTTCTGGCAGGTTTTTCTTGGTTTTCGAGCAGTCTTGTGCGTCTGGCTGTGATGCAAGTGGACAGGCAGTCTTGGCTATTACATGCAGTCTTTCTCTCATCAGGGATGGTGGTCTGAAGAGGGAGAAGGTGAAAGATACATTCAAAGAGGAGCAGCAGAAGCTGTACAGCAAGATGATTGTTGGGAACCATGAAGACAGGAGCCGGTCCTGAGCCTGCGCCTTGCGCTGGCTGGATCCATCATGCCTGAATCCTGAAACGGGAGACAGCTGGAGTCGTTGCTGCCGCAGCCCCCACTGCTGCATTCTTTCCAGACTTGGGGTCTTTGGGCTGCTGTGGATCCCAGGACTCCAGCTTCTTCAGAGCTGCCTGGATCCCTGGGCTTGCCGTCTGAAGTGAACGCTGCTGGGTGTTGCTGCCCAGGATAAGATGCCTTCTTGTTACTTTTACAATAGGTCCATTGGAGGAATGCCATTAAAGTCAACTCTCCACCTATGCGCACGCAGGGCTGAGTGGTTGAAGAATTGGCCGCATTCCTGTGCTGGGGAACAGTAGGACGTTAGTCCCTTACAGATGCCCACATGCCAGGGACTTGGCGGGGGGAAGGACTGCCTACTTGTGAGGAGAGGCACTGCGAGGCAGTGGGTTTGCCAGCCTCAGCATCGCCGCCCCACCTCCCACCAGCCTTGGAGTTTTGTGGGTTTGGTAAAAGAAAACTGTTGTCTGCAGGGGCTTTCAGCAAGACGAAGTTTTAAGTTCTTGTGCAGTCACCGGAGGGGGTGGGAAGAGGCAGGATGAACCAGTGACTGCTGTGTGATGGGAACCAACAGTCACTTTTCGCGTTCAGACTTCAGTGCTAACCCTGAACTCCCATGTGACTTGCTCTTTGTTAACACGTGCCTCAGTTTCTCCATATGTAACCTGGACCAGGAGGGGGAAGGGTGGCGAAACCTACCTCACAGGGCTGTTCTGGGGATTAAAGTGCTTCAGTGGCTGGAGGAGAGTAAAGCTCAGTGTTGTAAGGACGGGTCCCCGAGATGTGGCAGGATGAGGTCTGAGCTCCAAGCTGCTGCCCAGGGCTTGGAAGTTGTTTTGTGAGTAAATAAAATTGTCTTTGATGGTGAATGAATTGAGGGGTTTTTCCCTTCACTCTTTCTCCCCGAGTATAGCCCTAAGGAACGTGTTTCTTATCAAGAGTTACAGAACATAACGCTGGGGCTGGAGGGGCCCGGCTGGACTTTGGAATGAGGAATAGTACTGTTCAGGGTAAGGTAAACTACTCAGATCGAATATTTGTGTATCTCTCTGGTTAATTTAGAATTTCCCACAGACCCGAGATGTGGATTTCTACACAGCGGGTGCTGTGGGATTAGAGGTATATGTTGGGGATGCCATTTGTTGAGGTGGCAGGAGGAGGGGCAGCCAGTAAGGACAGTAGGAAGCCACGAGGAACTACAGGGGCAAGGTCGGGACGAAGGCTCTGGAAGGGTTAGTGAGGGCGGCAGGACGGGCAGTGGGTATTTGGTGCACTGGGGGCTTCCATACAGTCAGAGGGGGACTGCGGGCTTTGCGGCCGCCTGCACCCACCTGCAGTCACTGAAGGCAGATCCGAAGCTGAGCCACCCTTGCCACTTCTAGGGTCCACCAGTTTCAAATCCCTCAGAAGAGAGAATTGCCTCACCCCTTCCTTTTATCCATCTATTCGTACCCCTTCTCTCCCATCGCTCCGGCATGACGCAGTCACCATACCTTTCAGGAATTTGCACCAGCCATGGTAAGTGTCACCTCCCCAAGGCCGCCCTCAGTCCTGTGATTTGGGATGTGGTGGGAGTGTAGCCCTGCTTCGGAGGCTACCTGGTAGCACTTTGACCTGAACTCAGTGTGACTCACCCTAGCTGCCTTCCTGTCGCTTTGCCTCCCCAACTAGACTCCCATTTCCTCTACGCGCCCTATTGCGAACCAGTGGAAAATTCTTTCTCCTCTTGCATAAAAACACTTATGACTATAAGAACAACTTCTTATGGACTGTTCTGCAAAATATTCAAGAGTAAACAGTGGTTTTCAGCCTTTATAAGAAGTGATATTGAATTGTGTTTAAAAGCTATCTGGAATGATCTTTAAAAATCGGTCTTGAAAACCAAGTTCGCTTTTTAAATATCCCCCTTTTTTAAAGTTTTCTGCTGATTACTACATTTATTTTATGATTTACATCGTTTTTTAAATATTTTGTTTTGTTTTTCACATTCGTTTCAACAGTCCCATCTGTTGATGACGTATCAGAGTATTGCAGGAACCTGATTTAAAATCGCTGCTATGTAAAGAAATACTTCTGGAGACTAAGCAATGATTATTTTCTTACTAGATGAGGAGAAGGGATATAAATTATACCCCCCCCCCCAAAAAAAAAACCCTCAAAGATTTTAATTTAGTGCTCGTTGCATGCAGACTCATTGGATTGCTCCATTCTTTTACTTGGGGACCATGCAGGCCCCAGGTTGTCCAATATTTGTTTGGGATGTCTTGCGCGGTAAAACTTCAGGGCACTTAGGAATAGCAACAGAGAAGCATGTAAAGCAGGGGTTCTTAATCCCCAGGCCACGGACCATTATTGGTCCATTATTGGTCCATGGCCTGTTAGGAAATGGGCCGCATAGCAGGAGGTGAGCGGCTGGTGAGTGAGCGAAGCTTCATCTGTATCTGCAGCTGCTCTCCAGCACCAGCATCACTGCCTCAGCTCCACCTCAGATCATTAAGCATTAGATTCTCACAGGAGCACTGGTCCCAGGTGCCCAAAAGGTTGGGGACCGTTGATAAAGTACAAAAAACGTTCTTATGATCCCAGCAGTGATGAGGACAATCTTGGAGTAAAACCAAGTGGCGTTAATTTGTGGGCTGAACACTGGCTATCTTCTAATCTCACTTCCAAACCTGCTACTCCTTTGGTGTTTCGACTTTATTTCTCTGTGTCTGTTCTTTGATCCATAACCAAGAACTTGGGCTAGATGATCTCTAAGGTCCTTTCCACCTCTGCAGTTCCTGTAATTTTTAAACCCATTCATAGTTCAGACTTTGGCTTTAAGTTCTAAAGTCATCTGGGTTCTGAAGTAAGAGAAGTCAGTTTAAAGCCATTGGCTTCCTCCAAAACAATGGGGCTAGTGAAACGTCTCCACTAGCAGGTGTCCCATGTGTGGAGAGTCCCCCGTGTTTTAGGTGATCGTAGACCTGGTCGAATTTCATTGTAGATCTAGGAAAGACTTGTTTTTACTCAAACATTAGGTTTTTTTCCAGCCAGTTAGAGAAGGAACTTTGTAAAAAGGCTAGTAAAATTGCCCTGCCGGAGGAAGCCCAATAGAAGGCTGTTAGCCGGGCCAGCGCTCAGCAAGCTGAGCTTGATGGAGCAGTTTGAGAGGATGTACTTGCGACATAGTAGAACCAACTTTGGAACTGGATGTTTTTCTATGTCAGACCCCACTCCCTGTTGCTGACCTTCAGAGATTGAAAAAGACTTGATATGAGGTGATGGGAGAGCCCCACCAAGCCCTAACTAGGCCAGTGACAAGAGTCCTCAGGCACCGTCCTATTTCAGCCCTTCACAGCAGCACCCTACCAACAGTGGGCTCTAACTGTTATCCTTCAGAAGTCTTTTGGGACTATAAATTATGTCATTTCTTTCTGGGAATTAACCAAAAACTCAATGGTGTGTGGGATAGTGCTTCCCACCATCTCTAATGCATGAAAGAGTCCACTGTGTTGTAGGTCCCATCTGCCAGACTCAGTTTCTCCAGTCACACTCGCTGCGTGTGGCCTGGGACATGGGGCTGGAAGGGCAGCTGCATGCACACTGACTTGGGCAGGTTAAGAGGCGACCATCCAGCCATCCATCTTCCGTTGCACTAACACCCCCTCTACCCCCAGTCAATACGTCTCTCTCCGATGGGAAAGTTAATAAATTTTGCTCTAGATTAAAAGTATTGATCATTTCATTTGTAAACGATAAATAAAAAGGGGGAACTTTTCATTGCACCAGGGGTAGCGTCTGGTGTATTTTGCTGGTGAAATTGCGCTAGCTGTCGAGGGGGTGGGCTTCTCATATGCATTCTGGCTGGCCAGCTGCATTGATTTCCTATTAGTCTCCCAGCACCACCCAGTAACACATCATTTCAGTACCAGCTATTAATGGTCTTTTGATAAATAATCACTTGTAAGTCAATAAATTTTTATTAAACAGTGTGGCTCTTTGATTTATTAAAATCCGACCATGTTTGTCTGGGAGAAAAGGGATGCTGAATTGAAGTGGAGGTTTTCATACATCTTCCTGACGCTGAGCAGTCACCGCACACTCCAGAGAAAAACAATTGCATTTTAACAGAAACAAAACAGCCGAGTCTGGAACTTGGACCCAGGGAAACTTTATCTCCGTCAGTCTGAGGCTTACTCTACAGGGAGCAGCAGCAGGCTTGAGGGCGCCGTGTGGAGAACTTTGTTTGCTTCTGAGTGGTGAGGTCCCCGGGCCAGGCCCCCTTCAGGTGCCTTCTGGGCAGCACAGACCCTCGCTGCTTCCACAGACCAGTCCACCCACCAGCCCTGCTCTGGCTAACAGGTGCACCCTGGTGATGGCACCTTTGGCAAACAGACATTTGAGATCCATGAGACAAGTTGGACTGCAGGACCTTTTAGCTTCCTTCCTGACCAAACCACCATAATCACATCTTGTGGCAGGAAAGGCCGAGAGAGAGTCTCCGTTTTGTTACGTGAAAACTTGGCTGTATGGATTATTTTTAAAAATGAGCCAATAGCTAAAGATTGGAAATTTTTTTTTTTTGATTGTCACTGGCAAAATTTGCTGTAAAGGTTTTGACATCTTTTCATTGAGACTTCATGTGGCCCTGAATATGAATATAGAGTGGGCCAACCACTCTACCGAACCAGAACTCCCAACCCAGAAGGAAGTCTAAGAAAGGGGAAAAATCTGGCTAGTAAAGTGTTTTTATTAAAAACTAACACTAGTTGGAACTGCTCCTTGGCTCTGTTCTCATCCAGGCCACTGCTGCTGATTTCTGATCATATTTAGTGTGACAGGTGTTAACAGGAGAAGGGCTTTTGAAGTGGGGATTGCTAGTAAGTTCAGCTGAGAGCTTGATGTTTTCAGACATTTCATGTTATTCAACGTTTAAAACATTTTTAAATGTTTTTAAATTTTAATGTTTTAAGCCTGCTGCAAGTTTTCTGTTGCTTGGAGTTCCTTTTCTGTCCTAGTCTTAGGGATAAAGGCTGCTGCATCAGGGGACCTTGAAGGGGAACAGGAACCTGGAGAACAGGAAACAAACTTGTGACTGTCCTGCCCAGCAGGTGAGTATATTAACACACGGGTTTTATGGAGAGTGGCCCATTCTGTCCTTTGTGTAGGGGGTTGGTCAAGGATCAGCTTCTCTTCGGTGGAGCTCTGAGGCCTGCGCCTAAGGCTTGAGCCCCACCCCCACCCCAGGGTGGTACAGTGGTGTGCCCAGGCAGGGTTGGCACGGGACAGCATGCTCAGCTTCCTAGAACATGAGTCACATTAAGTATATCTGCACCTTACACATGCAAAATTCAAGTCCACTGTCAAGGTTAAACGGGAGACTTTTGTTTCACTTGAGGCCTTACCTCTGGTCTATTAAATCTCCCTTACTGCACTTGCCCTGCTTGTGTTCATTCCACCCCATTGTTAGAACTTTGGCAGGGGAAGTTGGAATCAGCTTAGAGTTTCTAGTACTCCCTGACGTGATTTTGAGTCAAGTGCATTCAACTAAGGAAAAGGAGTGACTCTTGCTGTAGTTTCCATGATAGCTGCTGCGGGGAGGAGAGGTGGAGGTGGAGTAGGGTTGGCAAAAAGGAGTTACAAGCAGCATTTGGACCATCATTCAGCAGGTACCTGCACCACCTGTAGGTATAGTCAGGCAGCAAGAGGTCAGGAAAGGTGGAGGTTGGAAGGCTCCGTCTCCCTTGAGAATAAGGATGGAGACCTGAAGCTTTCAGAACAGAGGGTCTGTTAATTCTTGAGAGCTATGACAGTGTTTCCCTCTGGCTCCCCAAATGCATTTTCACCCCTCCCCGTATTGCAGACTCAGTTCTGAATGGCTGGAAACGAGG